GCACGGATTCTGCGCTTTCAATGCTTTGGAAGTTTGAGTTTTTGATCACTTCTTAACCGAACGTAACCTCAAAACCAGTTTTACTATACTTTCAGAAAATTTGAGACTTAAGTGAAGTTCATAAGAGAGTCCACACAAGTATGCAATACCTGTCCATAGATTTAGTGAACCAACACTTCTCTCAACACTGACTTTGACTCTCGAAACAACTTTTTTCATAGTTTTGATGGCAGTTCTCTCTCCTCAACAAACTTATCAACATTTTTTACTCCAGTATTTGCTCACTATTTCTACTTTTAATGTTGTTTTCGGTGCTTTTTAGACGTCAATTGTTTAATTATTAATTATCATTACTATATTTCGTTATGTTTGTTCATAAACTATATTTCCATATCATTTGCTTCACTCTAACTATAAATCTTCGTTCATCTCATCTCTTGACTAACAATGAGACGGAAACCCAGGATTTGACGTCAGTCTCATCGCAATCAGTGATCATTTCTACAGAAACCTCAACCCTTTCTTCCGACCCTCTGATCAACACTTCTGCCGAAACTCACAGTAAGACACCAATTGTCACATACTATATGTATTGCCTCTTATCGTACTCTCAGGTCAATTCAATACCAGTCCAAACATTACTTATTTGTCCCTCTCTTCCGGTAAAAAAAGTTTACACAAATTTCCCACTATTTGAGCCAATACTTACCCGGCTGTGTGTACTTTGCTGTACATATACAGTAATATACATTGAAATATTATATTGAAACACTTCCCTGAGCTTTGAGTGAGAAAAATATTCCTAACTCTAAAAGGTCTGTGTTAAAACTCTATTAGAAATACTAATAGATTTGTGGACTCGCATTTTATATACGTAAAATAACAATTAATGTCACTGTAACTTTGGTAACTTATTGAAAAGAATAACAAACGGGGTTTTTTGTTAATCTATTATTTTTATTCATAAAATTGAGAAATTTTAATGGTATTTAAATAAAATAAAAGAAACAATCAATTAATCACATTCCAAGTCATGCCATACCAATGCCATCCCAACCCCCATACCCTATACCCTTATTTACCCCCTTTATAGTAGAATTTGACCTCAACTTGAATTAACACCAGTAATAGGCTATAACGGCACATAACATACATGTCACGTAAGTTATGGTCAAGTAACCGAAGTTCACTTAGCAAAACTCCGTATTCAAAAACGTATTTTTTGTTTTAAGAAATTTGTAAGTGAAGAAGAATACTTCTATTTCTGAAACGCTTTCTTTTAATGAATTTTATAAAATATTTGACAAATATTTCTAAATCAAGTTTTTCATCAAAAATTGAAGTTTTATTTAATGAATGAGTTTTAAAAATCATTAAAAAATAATCGGTTCTATAATTCCTCTCATTTTATATCATATATTATTTTTAATCATTTTTTTAAATTAAATTACAAACGAATTATTGGATCGATAATAATTTTAGTCTTGATTTGTTATTAGAAGTCTATTTTAGACTAAAGATTAAATCTCGAACACAGATATGCATAACAATTGTTAGCAATAAAAATTACATAAAATTTAGTTTTTATTATTTGAGTTAAAATATGAGATAAACAAATGTTTCGGTGATGCGATTGAAGAGAAAATAGCTTTAGATTGAATTGAGTTGTTGGATGTCTGGGTTGGATTGGTAAGTGGGCGACCCGGATATATGACATATTGAAATAAGTAAATCACTCTTTCAGTTTGGATTCACTCATTATTTAGAGAAGAGTTTTGTAGCTGTGGTTCATAAATGCTGTACTGATAGGTGGGTTGGGTTGAGCTGTTGTGATGCCCAAAATGGTCATAACTCGTGAGATCTGTTGCACAACTCATACCAACTCTTGACTCCATTTCCAATCCATACGACTATTAACTCTCTTAAAGACATTACTTCTCAATACAAACCATACAATCGATACGACCGTCACTTTCAACACATCCACACATTTGGCGGCCATTTATTGACAGACAATACACGTCTGTATTGTGGAGTAAAACACGTTTTTGTATTGATTGGGTGTTGAGTGCAAAAAGCAGTGCACCTCAGCTCACATCACATCCCAAACCCATCAACACATCCATCACTTATGGATCAATGGCTTATGGCCTCGGGAGCGGTGGTGGCCGTGAGCGCCACCGGACTCCTGTCCATCCTATTGATCCCAATCATACAACGCGACCATCACTCAGATGTCATCCAATTACTGGTCGGTCTGGCCATCGGAACCCTCACAGGCGATGCACTTCTTCATCTTCTTCCACACGTAAGACACCAATCGTTGGATTCATTTGTTTTAATGCTTTGTTTGCATTGAAGGCATTCTCATCCCATTTGCACAACAATGACAAACACCACCACAACGACAGTCACAGTCACCACAACTCAACTCATGAGGACACTGAAGATCATCCGACGGGACATCACTCGGAGTTGGTTTGGTTTGGATTAATGGCTTTATTGGCTATCATTGCGTTCTTAGCGTTTGAAAGAGTGGTCACTATTGTTACAGATCTCTGTAACAAATCTCACAAGAAATCGAAAGTAATGGACAAATAGTTTATTTATGGTTTGGATTAATGGCTTTATTGGCTATCATTGCGTTCTTAGCGTTTGAAAGAGTGGTCACTATTGTTACAGATCTCTGTAACAAATCTCACAAGAAATCGAAAGTAATGGACAAATAGTTTATTTGGTAAAATATCGTTATCCTGGGCAGCACTCTTAACCATTACTATGTATTAGCATTAAGTTAAGAAGTTTATGTCGAATATCTCGAATACTATCATGCCCATTTTAAATCTGATTCGATATTCGTAATTAGCATTAAATTGTACATTAAATTGATAGGTCACACAATTAAATTGATAAATTTTTGTGTGGGGGTGGGTGGAAAAAGTGGGCGGGGGTAAATGGGCTAATGGGATTATTTTTTACCATGTATATACTGGTAATGAATATCAAAATAGATTTACAATCGGACTAATGGTATTCGAGATATTCGACATTAATCTCTGGTTAATCTCTATGCTTACATATAGTAATGGTTAAGAGTGCTGCCCAGGATAACGATATTTTACCGTTTATTTTAGTTATAAATTGATGTTATAATTGAGTGTTTGGTTCAAACAGATAGACAACTGTAACCGTGCGGTCGGAGAGAAGGTTCCCAACCATAACATGTCATCGGAACCGACCTCTCCTTCAGAATTGGAGAAATTGAATCTCAATAACGAGTCGAAAGTGAATAACGAAGAGAATCTCAAACCAAAGGAGTCGATAGAAGGCGACTGTTTGAGCGGTACTACAAATTCTGGTCAACACGACATCCAAATGACAGAGCAGTGTCACAGAGAGACGCGTGTGTATCCACATCCAGACCCCGACAGAGGGTTTGTCATTGAATTGACAGATCATCATCACCACCACCAGAGACAGACCCCTCGCAGCCAATCAGTCATTTATACTGTTATAACGGGTGACGGACTGCACAACTTGTGCGACGGTATCGCCATTGGAGTGGCTTTTGCTGGCAGTGGTGTCGGCGGAGGTGAGCGACCACTCTATTGCCATATTGTATCTCCAATTTTATTAAATACTTACCGTATGTTTAGGTTTGAGTACAACAATAGCCGTTTTATGCCATGAGTTACCCCATGAAGTCGGAGACTTTGCCGTTCTGTTGAGGGCCGGCCTATCAGTGAAGAGAGCCATTATATACAACATTCTGTCGGCTGTTCTGTGTTTTGTGGGAATGACTATCGGAATACTGTTCGGTCGGATCAACGACGCGTGGCTCAGCGCCGCCATCGCAGGCATGTTTCTGTACATCGCTTTAGTAGATATGATCCCACAATTGGACTGCTGTCCCACTCAGTCGGGAACCACACGAGCTTTTAAACTAACCGTTCAACTCATTGGTATCAGTATAGGAGTGGCCATAATGTGTGTCATTTCCATATATGAGGAGAGCATTAAATTTGACTTTTAATTACTGTTTTTTGCTGTGATATTATATATGACTCTATAATAATAGTAATACTATTCTGGTATTATATAAAAGTGTTAATTTTATAACAATTACTACAATTGAAGACATAAATGCTATAAATGTATCTCTAAAACAACTAATTACGAAAAGTTCCAATCATTGCGAGACTCGTCATAATCATTGAGTTTCACTAAGTTCTCGTCTGACGAAGAACTGCCGCCATTGATGTTATTCTTCAATGATTGGACACTATTTAATGGTTTAATGTTAGGAATCAATGAAATCAAGTTATTGTGCGAACATTTCTTGACTTGTTTTACGAAACTGTGATCCAAAAGTTGAGAAGCGGTCGGCCTATCAGTTGATTGCATATAAATTTAATAAGTATTACAATTAGTGTTTGAATAAACAATGATTGTTAACATTGAAATACCTGAGCAACGGATCAAAGTTGAGGCAGAGATCTATTGTAAACTTATGAAACCATTGACTATATGTTCTGTTTCTGTAAATCTCGTATTTATGTCTAATCTCTTCACTCATTTCTGGTAATAAAATGAGAATTAATTTTAATAAAACTAATAAAGAAATGTCTACTAACGACACAATTGTCTATTTTAATCAACTGTTCTGACCTTCAGTCGAGAGGTCACTGATCTCAGGACACGTCGAGTCCAGTGGTCGCGGGAAATGAGCGGTGAGTTTATCCAAAAGCATTTCCGTCAACTCGACGTCTTGGAAGGGAACACAACCGTTGGATAACTCGCATAAAGTGATGCCCAGACTATAGATATCGGACTTTGCGTTATATCCTAAGAGGTTCTGCTCGAGTACTTCCGGCGCCAACCAATTGAGGTTCGGTTCGGGATGTGTCGGGTAGTGGTGTATAGCTGTCTGCCATTTGCCGTCAATCATACAACTGGTCGAGTGCTTCAGTCCTGAGAGAAGACACCGACCATTAGGTGCCGTCACGAGGATATGAGAACCGCGGATCGACCGGTGAATGATTCCTCGTTTGTGAAGATATACTAAAGCCGACAATACGTCCCGTACTATGAAAGCGATGGCCAACTCTGAAAGACCGTTGGGTTTGGAGAGATCACTGGCGGACCCGAAGTGTGCCAAAGGAGTGATTGTCCACAACTGACAGCCGCTCACGAATGAGCACAGAATAGGCAACAGATTCTTGTGCTTCAGAAGACATGTCAACTTAATATCGTTGACCACAAACTCGAGACTGTGAGCGGTCTCTAAATTGGTCCGTCTGAGCGCGTATTCCTCACCGGTTGGCTTGTATTTCACAACAAACAGCTCTTCACTTGAGTGGATCCGATGCACACTTTGGTACAGATGTGGCGAAGAGTCCAGCGATTGGTTCGTCTCCGAGAAAGAGCTGGTCTTTGAGTTGGATTTGTGTATTAAGGCATTCATCGTTGACTGCAATCATGAATGCAATCAATGCTCACAATTGGTAACAATTAGTAAATGAAGGTTTGGATGAATGTTGTGCTCAATGTTGTGATGGTTTGAAAGCCAAGACAACAATCATAGCACGGATTCTGCGCTTTCAATGCTTTGGAAGTTTGAGTTTTTGATCACTTCTTAACCGAACGTAACCTCAAAACCAGTTTTACTATACTTTCAGAAAATTTGAGACTTAAGTGAAGTTCATAAGAGAGTCCACACAAGTATGCAATACCTGTCCATAGATTTAGTGAACCAACACTTCTCTCAACACTGACTTTGACTCTCGAAACAACTTTTTTCATAGTTTTGATGGCAGTTCTCTCTCCTCAACAAACTTATCAACATTTTTTACTCCAGTATTTGCTCACTATTTCTACTTTTAATGTTGTTTTCGGTGCTTTTTAGACGTCAATTGTTTAATTATTAATTATCATTACTATATTTCGTTATGTTTGTTCATAAACTATATTTCCATATCATTTGCTTCACTCTAACTATAAATCTTCGTTCATCTCATCTCTTGACTAACAATGAGACGGAAACCCAGGATTTGACGTCAGTCTCATCGCAATCAGTGATCATTTCTACAGAAACCTCAACCCTTTCTTCCGACCCTCT